AACTAGAGGAATTGCACAGCATGCCGAGGGCATTTTTGGTTGGAACTGACGGCCCTCGTTCCCATAGATCCAGTGGCAGTGCATACGCACGACAACTTCACAGGCCAACGTGACGCGGTCGGCTGCGCGAAAGAACGCAGGCTCACCGGCATGCACTGGCTGAAGGCTGTCATTTGCTCTTGCTTGCAGAAGCAGGGAGTAGAGCCCGGAGTAGACGTACGCGAACCAAGTCAACGACACCGTTGCCATGAACAAGTACAACACCAGGGAAAACACGACTACGATGGGGTTTGAAGGGAACATGTTGAGCGCTCGCCCGCGCAAGACCTCTACAGCTAAGTCCGCGGCGATGCCGGAACACTGCGGGTGGGAAGCGCGGGGCTGCTGGGTTGCCTTGCGCAGAACTGATGAAGTATTATTGACAACTGAATGCCTAAAACGATGATCAAGCGCTGGGAATTGCATTAAGGACGTTGGTGGACGGACTGAACATAAAGGACAGAACGCCTGTTGCCTTTTTGCCTCGGCTGTAAGCCGCTGCCGTGGACTCGAGCGTACGATTCCCGTTCAGGGATCGCCACCCCTCGAACCTGCCTGCCTTCGTCAGCGCCACTATGGGCACGAATCGTCTGTTGCCCATGCACGTCATAAAGTACACAGCCCTGGCGCCCTTTAATATGCAACTTCCGAAAGTCCCCTGGGAATAGCTTGCCCCACTGGCGTTTATTTCGTTCACTCCACAACACAGCAGGCTTCATATAACATGTAAATACATGAAGTAACAAGTAAATGTCCAGGTGCCATTCCCGTCGTAACAGCAGTAACGTGGTCCTTGAGCCATTTGACAAGATGGCACATGCACAGCCCATCTTCCTTGTGAACGCTTATCGTGGCCACCTGGCTGGCGGCCCGTGCCGCCCCAGATTCATACGTTTTATGTGCACGACAGCCCACGTTTCCCACTTGTGATGAGCCCACATTTACTCCCGCCAACAACCATCCAGATGGTGTGCAACAGCACGCAATTCCACTGGGGCAAAGCACGGCACCAACTAGGCACGCAGACGGAAACTGATATCTTGTAACCGATGGACGCTTAAGTGGGGTCGCCTGGCCCCCCCAGTTTGCCCACCAAGTCGGCCCAAATGTTGCAAAAATCCCTTGCCAGTGGTCAGCTGTAGCGTAGCGCTCGTGCAGCAGCAACGAGAAGTTTGTACCCAAAGGGCTGGCGCACACAAAAGGCGTTGAAACATATTGTGTTTTATTGGTTCTGTCAAATTCATCTGAAGTGATGAGCAACCTGAGTTAAGATATCCTGTCTGCTGCGGAGCTTGGACGCTCTTCTGCTCTGCCATTCAACAAACTCCTGCCCAGAGGCCGCTCCACGTTTGGTGGTGCTATCCTGCTCAATCGTGATCTGCAGTGACCTTACGAGTCCAGCCGTGCATTGTTGAAGGCAGTGGTGACTAGCAGGCGTGGGAACTTTGCTCCCTGGTTTGCGTGTGTTCACGGTACAATCCATAGAAAGCTGTGCCAATGGTCACCGTGTTTGCTTGGTGTGCTTGAATGCACGTGCATGTTGGCCCATTTCTCTGCCTCCTCCCGATGGTCAGAAGGACACTGTGGCATGGCAGAAGCAGCCGTCTCAGATCCTCACCACTAAACATCAGGATGGCAAGGCCGGGTTAACGTCTTTAGTTTACTGCAGCCGATGCACAGAAGTCGGTTAGAGGCATTGAGCCTGTTTCTGAGGGCTGCACGATTGGACAATAAGATGGAAGGTGCGGCCAGGGGCGCCACACCATTTCTGTCGCACATTCTGCTGGCCTCGTCTTCCGTCCTCATCCTGAGAGCGAAAGCCTGTGCCCTTGGCGCCTTCCCCCAAATGCAGAGGGCCCTGATGGCCTTCCCGTGACGGCACATCACCAGCCTGCCCTCTTCCCCCAGCGCACTGCTTGCCTGCCGCATCAACCCTTCGCCCACAATGCCTTCGTCCCCGTTCCAAAGCCAGGCAAGCACGCCTCCCACAGAGCCACCGCGAGTCGACCCTTTGGCGTGGGGTCGGCACGGCAAACCGACAGCGCGCCTTCCTGAACATGTCAGCCCGTACGATGCATTCCTGTCAGGTCGGCGACAAAAGCCTGGCACACTCCCAACGTCAACGGTATTCTGTCACCGGCGCACCACCCCCCCGGAACATCGTCTCAGCGCCCCAGCTGCAAGACCCGCCCTTGGCCCTCCACCCCGCCCGGCCAGCGCCCCCTGACCTTCCCCACCGACTTCCCCGCCACACACGCCACCTCGTCACCCCATCTCCGCCCTCAGTACACAGATGCAGTGGCCGCCAGCCTTCGATTCTGGCCACGCGACAGCCCCACGTGGTGTCGGACACCGTGTCCTCCATACACACGCCGGCCCAATCTGCCCCATCAATCGCCAAACGGCTTCCTAATGCGCCATAACGGCGCCGCCTCCAGGGTCAAGGCCGGGCGGATCGTCATTTGTGAGGCCGTGTATTTACTGAAGTCGGCACTTTCCTGGACCATGAGCTTTTGTCCTAGGTTCCTCTCCTCTGCCGGCTGGGCTGCGGCCTCCTCCGCCCTGTCGGCTCGCTTCTTGGCCAGCGACGCTGGGCGGTCCCTCGCCGCCATGAAGATCTACGTCGGCAACCTGCCGTGGAAGACCACAGCGGAGGACCTCCAGATGCTGTTCTCCACCTACGGCAACGTCCAGGAGGCCACCGTGCTCACGGACCGGGAGACCGGCCGGTCCCGGGGCTTCGGCTTCGTGACCATGCAGGACGACGAGGCGCAGAACGCGATCGCCGCCCTGAACGGCACGGACTTCGAGGGGCGGCAGCTGAGGGTGAACGAGGCGCAGGACCGCCCCCAGGGCGGCGGCTACAGGGGCGGCGGCGGGTATGGCGGTGGCGGCTACGGCGGTGGCGGCGGCGGCGGCTACGGCGGCGGGCGGCCGGGCGGCTACGGCGGCTGGAACCGCTGAGCGCCGGTCCCGGGAGGGGTTGCGTGGAGCGCCATCGTGTGTGTGCCTGCTGCTTGTGGCGGACGGCGGCGGCGCCCGGCGCGGTCCCCGGCGTGGGGTGACCTGGAGGGTTGGCCCGCGCTGGCGGGGCTGGTTGGCCGGGCGGCGCCTTCTGCGCGGTAACTCGGTGGCAAGCTGTGTGTGTGTGAGCGCTGGCTGGGCTGTCAATCCCTCGCGAGGAGAGGAACTGTGTGTGTGTGCGCTGTGTTTCGTGTTTAGCCTGTGTTTGGTCGAGAGCCAGAACGCCCTTCAGGCCTGCTTTCGCTGGGATGTCAGTTGGCGAGCTTCGGTCGTGCGTGTTCACACATGTGTGCCGGGTGAGTTGTCTGTGCCGAGAGTGGTTGTGCCCTGTGCCAATTGAGATCTACGGACTGTGGGACCGGTTGTAGGGTAAGGGATGTGCGGAAGAGATACATGTTCTGGGGGATGATGCTTCTTTGTGCAGCTTTGTTTCGTTTGACACTATTGTGGAGGAGCTTTAAAAACTGGATACCAAGCGCAGCGCTGTGTCTCTCCTGCAAACCGCCCACCGCTGGACGGCTGTACATTGTTTGCTGGCTGCGCAGGCCGGGCCCACCACGGCATAGGTTGCATTTCGAAAACCCGATCGCGGGGTGTGAATTGTGGGGCGTGCTGTTCGCTGCGAATTGAACTGGAGGACCGGCGGCGCTGGTCGGGAGGGCGTCACGTGTTGCGTGTCGGGCGGGGGACGCGCAGCACCGCGGCGCATTTTTGAGAGGTCGGGTTGCCACGGCCGCCGTGGGGCCGGTTCGCAGCCGCCTGCGCGCATCACAGGGGGAGGACGGGGCGGCATCCCATCCAGGCGACGCCACTCCGCGCACCGCCGGCCCGGAGGGGGACCCGTGCCGGCTGCGGCACAACCAAAGCAGGTAGGGCACTGCTTCCGTCGGGTTCCGGATTTGCCAATCAGCACAGTCTTCGTCCTCGCGGGCAGCTGTCCACACATCCGCATGTGTCTTGGGGTAGTTCCAGCGGCAGAGCAACTGGATAGAGTGTCCCCCTCCCGCACAACTTGAAAATCTTTTCGAGCCGCGACAGGAAGGACTGTAGGTGCCGATTTTGACGGCCAGATAAGGAAACGACTGCAGCGGGTCTCGCAGGCTGAGCGCGAAACGACAGCCTTTTCCGAGGAACCGTCTCGTTAAACCTCACCCGCGTCCTCCCCACCACCCACCAGGACACTGCAGCCGGAACTCAAGGTCGATTTCCATCGCCAGTAAGACATCCGCAGAGGCACCAGCTTTGCGTATTGCCGCCCCCACGTGTTGCCCAACAACCACAACTGGCAAACATGTCGGACTGTTACCCCCCTCCAGCAGTGAGAATGCCCTTTTTGCGTACTGGGCCGCCCATATTGCTCGAATTCTGCTGTTTAGAATAACAACTGTCTCTCCCTTGCATGTTCCCAATAGAACCATCACAATGGCGCCTCTCCTGCAAGGTTGAGTGCACCTCCCACGGGGTGGTACACGTGCCAAGCTCCGCAGTTCCTGTCCCTACTGGAGGGCCGTTCCGACCTTTTCAGCTTAAGCTGAAGGGCGAAGCCATCCGTTGCCAGCAGCCCCACCGTAAGCCAGATCACAGGCGGCAGTGTGGAGGTGTCCCTTGTGGCGGAAGACGGCAGTTTCAATGCCGCCTCTGAAGTTTTCCCGTTGCGAGAAATGATGACCTGCCAGGGTGCAACGACCACAGCCGCAATGGAACGCAATAGAAAGCACCCTGTTTCGAACTGTCATTGACCGGAGAAAGGAAGGTGGATCGACCGTGCTTGACAGAACACAGCCTTGGCACCTTCCGAGATGATGCAATACGGAATGGAGGCTCAGCACTTTGTTTGAATAGTCAAGAACAGGATCTTGGGGGTGCGTCCGCTAAAGGGCCGCTGCACTGTCTGCAGACGTCTTGCACCTGTGAACAAGTGATCTGTTCCGAGAAAGTCAGCGAGCGCCACAGGCAGTTCGCGCTTGCACGACCGTCGAGCCTGTTCACACAAGATAGGTGGAATGAAAAGGCGCCACTGGTACAGATGTACTGTGTTGCTGCATACAAGAGAATCAGTCTTAACGTTTGTTGCTCGCAGCTCCCACACCTTCCCGTCAGGAGGAAGGGCCAAGCTTTCCTCCATTCTCGCGGGTTTCAAGCGGTGCCTCGTGCCAACCATGTTCAAGCCATTCTGGGAAGACAGCTCCAGTGGCTCTGGGTCCTTTTCGCTGTCGACCTCGAAGGAGTACTCAGAAAACCGCGTCCAGAGCTGCCCTTGTTCTCTTCTCCTCACTTCCACCTTAACTACAGGCAGCGAAGAAGAGCGCCCGGAGTCGCCCTTCTTAGTTCCGGGCTCCATGTTGCACATGAAATCCAGATATTTGAGCATGGATTGCATGCGCTCTGCTTCCATGTTTTCACCGTCTTCTCCGAAGTGCAGGTACTGTTGGTTTGTGGCAACTTCTTCCCAATCTTGTCTGTGCAAGAGCTGCTCGCGGACCCTGGGGACCTGCCCACCACAGTGCTTATATCAAAGCATGCCAGCATCGAGCGTGTTCTATTCTTGGAACAGAATTAAGTTTTCTTGCCCTGGTTGAGCTCGGCGATGTGCATCGCCAAGCTAATATTATGAATGGGATAACACCTGGCCCGCTGCCTGCGTCCCCACGCAATGTCGTGTTGGCGTGCTGCACTTTGCTGCTGTGCAATCTCACTATGCTTTGTTGCAACTGGGACCTGGCGAAGTGAGTATGCCTGCAGGCACGGACTGAACGCAAACACCGATCATGGCGCATGTCCCGACTGAGGTGCATCAAACAGCATCAGTTTTATTGGAGAAGAGGGACCTCCTCGCAACAGTCCGTGAAAGAGCAACCCAACGCCCATGTCATAAGACCACGCCTCCAAGCAGGAAGCTACCTGCACATGCGCATGCATCTGTTGTGATGGACATGGTGGTGTTCTGCCAGGTTTATGCACCAGCTTCTCAGTGCACCAACTGCTTCTCCCATGATGTCGACGGCAGCGGTGACCAGATACAAACGAGTGCACAAGTGGACACCGTTTGATTGGACAATTGCACGATGTTTTATTGGCCTGACAATCACCTGCTCAAGAATAAGGCGGGCGTTCTGGACGTCACCAGATGGTTGCTCTGCACACAGGGCAAGCTCATCCAGTCTCCTTTCGAGATCTTTCAAAACTGGCAGCTGGTCAAAGAGGGACTCGTTCATGTGCTTGCGAATTCCCATGATCGCTGCCTTACGGAAGTCGTCGACCACATACTTTGCCCGGCATTTGGGGTCCACCAGCAAGTTGTTCAGAGTCAGCCACACCTGCGCAACTTAGCGGCACCACAACGCCCGTCTGTCAAAATTGTTCAAGCGTTGAATGACGCACACTGCGAACGATCGAACTGCTTTTTGTAAGGTTGTGGCTGGCCCCGCACACACGACCACAGAGCTCTGCGTAGGTGGCTGGGAATGGGCGGTGTGACCAAATGAAGATGCGTGAGACAGCCGTCGGAGGGGGGGCTTTCCAGTCTCGCCGTTTGTGGCACATCCAAGTCCGAGTGGGAAGCAGGCATCGATTTGTGCGGCAAATCCCCACCTGGCCGTCCAGCTGCGTCAGACGGAATCGTTCGGCTGGCTCCACGGGTGTCCAGGCATTCTCGACATACTTCTCTATCTGCAGAATGGGCGCAAAGTGCAACATCAATTTAATGGCATCGGTGAACAGCCACCTCGCCGCTGCCACAATCTTGGGCAACAACCGTTGCCCCTTTTGCGGACGTGGGACCATCCAGGCGCAACCCTTGCACCTTAAACGCCGAGCAGCATTGAGAAATGAACACCCTTGAGCGCAAAACGGGCGAGAAGAAGTGCTTTGACTACCAAGTCCCGTGCCCACCGTGCCCAATAGTATGTTGTCGAAACTCCGCCATATTCGCGGTCAGTTCTCCCCCACCAACCTTTCTGGGGCATTCACTAGCGATTTGTTTCGTCCTCGGTGAGAAGCAATGAACGCCTCATGAAACGCTGCATATGAAAATGCACGCTGATTACCTTGCCTCTCCGCTGTCGAACCCACGGAGGAGCTGCAATCAGCGGAATCAGTGCCATTATCGTGTCGTGGGTGTTGAGCAGACAGCTCATGACGCACAGAGGGAGAGTTGCCATGTGGTCGGACACGTATCTCAGAATGGTCACTGAGCATACTGCCGTGGCAAAGTCAATCTCCCGGCACTTCATGTTCTGTTCCTCCATAGCTGACATGTTCAAGAGATTCTTTATGTCCGTCTCTGCAACGAAGGGTGAATGAATGAATGAATGAACGAACGTGTATCTGACAGGTAACGTGAAAAGTCACGCACCAGCGATGTGCCTCCACCGCGCTCACAGGATCAGCGTCAGTTTGCTGGTGCGCCAGTAAAAGCAGACCGCGCGGTCTACAAGGTCCCCACCATGCCCTTCAAGCACACTCGCAGACGCCAGTCGCCCATCCCCTCTGAGCAGTGAAATGAGCAAAATGATGTTTGAATCTGCTACTTTAGTTGCTAGCATGTCTCCCTTTCTACCGCACTTTCGAGTCGCCAGATGGCGAAACAAATGAACCCAATCTGAAGATTTGAGTCCATCGTCGTGGGGTTTCTTGATGCCACTGGGCACCAAAAAGAGAGTTCTTGTTGGAGACATCGAGCGAAAGCAAATGAGCTTGGATGGGAACAAGTCGAAAAGCGTCTGGAAGAGCAAGAGTCCTGGTGATGAGTCTGGATTCGGCTCCGGCACTAGCATGGCGGAGGTGAGATTGGTGTCGACTTCCCGCACCCCAGCCGCGCACAGCATTGAATATCAATGGCATCCAGCAAAGGCAAATCGTCCATACCTCCTCGGGAATCAATTGGCATCCAGAGCCGTTGCCTGGTTTAGAGAAACGAATGAATACAATCCAGGGTGCAACTGATGTTCACTAGTCATTTCTCCTTTTTGCTGTGTTTGAAATTTTGCGTCCTTTGAATTGAATACAAATTTGCGAATTCTAGTGACATACATCACTAGTTGGAGAAGGCCATTGGGAGTAATGTGCCATACAGTTAAGTTGCAGCAGCTATTTCATTGCATCGCATTTTTCTTGGACAACAATTTTCGCAATCGCATCATGAAATAGTCGTAAATCGCCGCATACCAGCAATCATTCCAGGGCTACCGAAGTCGATGGCACAGCTTCAAAGCCTTGCTGTGTAAGGTGATCATAATGATGTTTACTGGGTACAATATCCACAGCGACACAACACATGATAACGACAGATTGCCGCGTTCAGAAGTATTATGGCACTTGAACACATTCTTCCTTCAAGTGCAATTACGTAATGTTGAACATTTTGACCATTTTTGTAGAGCATGGGTGCGGGGATTGTAGGATGCGCTGTGGTCGATACTATCGGCGATGCTCCCTAGGCTTCAAGGATAGGCGAAATTTCGCAATTTGGATGGTACCTCAGGAAGTGCAATCCCTTTAAGTTTTGGTGCCATGTTCCATTGTACTATTATCATTGCAATCTCACCTGCCTCCTCGCTTTTGTCGTGTGCGCAAGTGTTAAGGTAGACGATCTTGCGTTGGCACCAGTTGCAGAGCTCGAGCAAATGATCATCATCCAGATCGTCAAATGCTTGTCTGTCGTACAAACAAACCTGTGTGCGCATTAAAAGCACAGGGAAATTGCTGCCGTCTGTGTCATTAATGCACTAAGGTAAGTGACAAAACTTCCAGAACGATTCAAATGCGCATAATTGTGTGTCCGTGCGGGGGTGTTCGCACCGAATTTTTTCTTGACTGGATTGAAGTTTCCATGGAACATAAACGCATCGGTACAAGCGGGAACAGAGAGTAGAATACAATGGCGTAAACACGTGGTCAGGTATGCTGAAACGCTTGTTTGGGTAGTGCCAATGCATAATCCTGAAATTCGAGCTGTTTGATGCATCAATCTAGCGTGCGGCGCATCCAGTGGCACAGAGATGCCCACAGGCCTCCATAGCACTCACCTCCAGAATGTTTGCCAAGGAGACCTCGTGGTAAACGGCGAAGTACCATGTCAAGGACCCCGCGCTCTTGGCCAGATGCTTCCTTATCCGAGGAAACACCTTCTCGCGCCATACCTGACGCCACATCGGTCAAGAGGAGCCGTCAGCAGGTAGAATCAGCTTCAAAGCAGCCTCCATCGAGCTGCTGTAGTGTTGTCGAGGACGTTCCGTCGGGTATGGATTCCTCTGTAATTTCTCCCGGCTATGCACCGCGCAAATTTTGCGAGCCCTTAAGTGGTGCTGCTCACCTCAATGACTAGAAGCTCGTGTATGATCACTGCTATCTTGTTGTGGGACATCAGGTGCTGGACCACGAACTCATCCGAGTACGTCATGGCGTTCTGGTGCGCCTGTAAGTACGACAGCAAACAAAAATCTGAATGGAAATCTGAATGATGGTGATGACAGCAAACAGAATGCGTGCGATCACTTGCCGCAAGGGAAGCATTGCAGATATCATTGTAGGAGAGGAACATCTGCGGTTGTGATTGAACATGACGAATGTGATGTGCGTGCAATGAGAACTGCGATTGCACACCCGTACTAATTCCGGACCGTGGCAAAAGATCCACAAATACAGCTAGAATCTCAACATTTGCTTACCAATCATTGGAAACGCAGTAAATGAATAGCATACCTCAATTTAGTAAGACACTGCTCTGCCAGTAAGCAATGCTCGGCAGATATTAACTTACTGCAATGGCCGACAAACAAGATTCAGATCCTAAGGAGGGTTGATACGTGGGCAATTTCTGGGTTGGCGCCATGCCAACAACGAATTTGTTGTCAGCTGAATGTGCAGCAGAGGCAACCCCGAACTTATGCTTAATTAATGCAATATGCAACTTGTTGTGTGACCATCTGTGAAGTTGGCAGGACAAGGAGTAAAATGCTCTTACAGAGATCCTTCTTACCAGACGCAGACGAGCAGTTTTTGTATTATTTTCATGAGAGTTTCCAACATTTGAAATTGGGGCACGGCAGTAAAAGGTCGCGCTGTAGTCAAGGTGTGCTAAACACAAGCAAGCTCGAGGATTCTTTGCAGGAGCAAGACATCATGGTAATCATAGTATCAACTGTGCGTCATCCACTTCTGCCTCTTTGCATTTCTACACAAATGGAAATGAAGCATCGCAATGTCGGATTAGCGCAAAACAGTAAATTAGATTGGCAAATAGGAACTGAAGCAGGGGGTGCGAAAGGGCGTTGCCGTGCTTTTCGATATTGCTAGACACATTCAGTGCGGCTTCATTTGGATCTAAGAACCGAGTCTGACGATTGCAGAAAAATTTGAAGTTGTTTGCATAATCAACTCACTTGCAAGTTCAGCTGTTCAATATGCTGTCTCTGATCCACCCATTTTCGTGAGCCGACCTGCGCGTGCATCGCCCGACCGAATTCAGCAAAGCCTTCGTACTTTGTATGGATATATACCATTTTAGTGCGATTCAAGTCCATTCACGTGTCTCCCAAAGTTGTGTCCATTTCACACCAAAAGGAATATATCTGTGCTGGAAGTGAATGAGATAACCCCCTTGGATTCTGCGACCAATATATCACTGTGCGCAATCTTGTGCTGCGGGCTGCATGGCTGGGGAGGATCAATCAATTCTGCGGTCTGATGTTGCTCAGATGTTGAATGGGTTCAACCGACTGTTTGGATAGGGGACGCTGCAATTAGGTATTTCAGTCGTGCACTTTGTCAATGTGATGGCCGATTGCTGCCACTTAATTCAAGGGTATTGAAGCACAGAGTCCTGTGGTTCTTTGCAATGCAGACACATGTGAAGACGAAACATTGGTTCAACTATCTGAAGAATGATTGGTGTCGCGTCAGACAATGACAATAGAAGCGATTTTGCCTACAGCTGGCCATGCACTCTTTGGATCCATTGTACCAGCATCCATCACATTGTTGCGTACACAAGTGATGATGCACAATGTGTGATAGCAGGATGTGCACATATCTCAACGGTTTGCTGGATTGCAGTGCAATCACTCCTTACAAAATTGCAAAACTGTTATTTCAGGACATATTCTCCACCTTGAGGCCAGTGCGGAGAGCAGCTCCTTGATGCTGTGCAAACTGCTCAAGATGAGATAAAACAGGCACATAAAGAAAGCATGTGGTTTGAGTGACTGTATTTCAATGACATAATCATTGATTTTGTCACAAGGTTGAAAACCTCAGTTTAACATAATTGCTTGTGTTCTGGCGCACCTCTTCGACGGAAAATTCTCTTAACTGCTCCACCAGCCGTTCCGCCTCAGTTGCAGAAAGGATACCCTGCCCCGCGGCAACGTTTCAGCATTGGCAAGACAGCGAAGCACATAGCCACGAGCGGCACATATCTCCACGTACGCCTCGACGTTCCTATCTATTTCACAAGTACGATAATGCGATTGGCTGCAATGCCTACCTTCAAGAAATATTACAAGGAGGCATGCTGCCACTCATTAAATGACCAACAAGCTGTGTGAAAATGCATGGAACCTCACAAGAGCAAGGCGCGCTCGACTGCAAAGGTACTTGCCGCTTCAGGTCCAGACGCCCCAGCAGCCACGCCCCGTCGCAGCAACTCATCCATTTCGAGGATAGATAGGCGGATAGTATCTCCTCCCACAGGCTGCTACAGTTGACCCAGCTCCTGTGCTGGGGACCGTTGGCAGGGTCCCTGGGAGTCCTTCGCCCAAATCGTCGGTCACCTGCTGAACAAACCTCGTTCACGCCCAGTTCCAGTTTTCGCAAATAAGTCTGAATGCGGAGCCGCTCGTCTGACGACGTGGGACAGGCGGGCTCGTTGCTTCATGCGCTCTGACGGACGGCCTTCAAAACTGTAGGCGCATGTGAAGAGAACGTTGTCAATTAGGAGAGAACGTACAAGGTGAGAACACCGCGTGTGTGCGTCGACGGCACTTGCCCTTGTGTAGGACTGTGGGACGCATTGATCTCGCCGCCCGCTGCCTCTTTCTTGGCTCCATTCGAGAAGGCCTGCGAGCGTCCTCCCGTCATTTGCAGGTTTGGTGGTGCTCCCTTCAATTCCTCCCCACCGGCCAGATTCTGGGCCTCAAGGCCTGGGGCCGCAACGTCCTGCACCCGGCGGGAGCCCGAGCGCACCGCCGCTGCGGGGACTGCTTGGACCCCCCACCCTGCCCCTTTTCGGACGCCGCGCCTTCAACACGGCGTCCGAGCTGCTGGTCGGGTGAGGTGTCTCGCGCCGACGCTGAGCGAGGCACATGACCCAACAAGGCTTTGTCGGGTCGTCTTGCCCGCAACCGACGGTGACGCTTCGCTGTTTCTCAGCCCGGATGTGTTGCAGCGCTGCAAGCCGTCTATCCTTTGTGCTTGGCTGCCTGTGTTCGCATCTGTGTACGGAGCGTACCTGGCAGTTTCTGGTCTGACGCCTTCACAAGTTACTGCGAGGAGGCATCGATCTTGGGCAGTTGAGTTCCCACAGCGGCCTTGATCCGGTGGCACATGGCGTGCGATTGCAGGCCGAAGGCGACGACGCAGTGCGCTGCCTGACTGTGTTCGGGCGGCGCTGGCTGTGTTCGGTATGGATCACCAGGCTGAGGGGACCCACGACAACACGCTGGAACTGGTGCGGTTGTATTTCCTGACTGGCTGTGGGTGCAGCTGCTGCAAAAATGGGCCTGAGTGCAGCCAGGCCCAGGAGCAACGGAATGTTTGGCTGGCCTGACGAACTGTCAGCATTACTGTGACTTTAGAAGCACTGGGTCGTGGTTGGTAGTGTTGGTTTGCCTTGTGATGGCCATGCGCACAGGTATTTGGGGCACGTCCATTCTTGCTTGTCCTGGTGTTGATGCTCCGGTGGAGCGGTGCGATTGACAAACGTTGTTTTCGGCATTCCAGAGCAGCCCACTGTTCCAAGGGACCAGATTACTTGTGTTGCAACGTCACTCAGCCAGCTTCATCCACTGACAAAACCTTCATTTACGATCAGGTCGAAGAAGACATGGAGAGGTGTGAGGAACTCCTTCGACAGGACTCCTTCAGGCTGCAGGCACCAGGTAGCACCAGGTCCTCACTGTAGAAGCTTAGTCAGCTTGGTCTGTTCTTTGAGGCTGTGGCTGAGTTGTTACACGTTCATCTGCAAATCCTTGTGTATCAAAAATACCTCATCTATTTACATTTGCAGAACATGGAAAAAGGAATGGCAAGTTCCCACTTGTAGCTGGTGCCAGTCAAACTTTTGGTGCTCACGACTGTCACACTCCTGCCAAACTCACACTGGTAGCAGAGAAGTTCTGTTAATGGCAAAATAGAGAATTGACCATGGGTGGGAATGCAAAAGGGCTTTTTTTACTCCTTGATTGTTCCGCTGCAGCGGTGACTGAAGTGTTTATTGCAGAAACTGTTGCTGGGCTATGGAATACCATGCAGCCACATGCTGTGCCCTAGGGTTGCTGGCCACTGGCTTGGGGGACTCCCAGTTGAATGCCCCAAGAATAAGAAGCTAATCAGGAAACAGCCTTCCCTGTGTCAGCAGGATGTACAGCAAATCTGGGCGATGCTGAGGGGTGTACCTATGAAAAAGATTCCAAGTTTCCAATTGCTGATGGTAGTCAGGAGGGGCGTCGCCAGGTGAAACAAACTAACTTGCCAAAACTTCAAGCCTCCCATTCTGTCAACGCACTTGGTGTGTATGGTGCCCCCATCAAGCCTACACAGTTTTGATCAATTATATAATCAAATATATATTTGTGTACGTTGCTTGTTGCTCGTTGCAGATGATTCAGAAATTGATCCTGCAGAGAAGGAGTCAGCAGGAGCATACTGGCACAAGTGAGGATGGGAGAGATGGTGCAATGCAGCCAAGCCGACGAGAGAGGGTGCAGCAGCTGTTGAATGAAAGGCGTGCACAAATGCAGTCATATGAAGGTGATGTTTTTCATGAGTTGCATACCTGGCGGACAGCAGAAGTGTGGGTGTGCGCTGCTACCTGTTGGTGGAGCAGCTCAGGACCTCCAGCAAGATATTATTGCCTTTCGCATTGGAGGATGACAGCATGACAAATATACTTGCAGGCACTAGTTCGACTTTTCCCTCACACATAGTGTTGCTCATTCTCGCTCACACAGCTGGTCCTGTGGCAGAAAGCATCTGATTGGTCATGCAGCCAATTTTACTGCAGGTTGACAATCGCCTTGCATTTGACAAGCAATAGCTTCTGTTGATATGCAGTTCTTAGAGGTAGAAACAAGCTGATATGAAGGGTGACTTATAGCCGCATATTTACAGGTCAAGTCCCATCCAGTTATCTTGCTTCAGGCCCTGGAAATGACTGCTTCAGCCCCAGGAGTTCTTCTAGTTTGGCTTCAGGGAGTGGTGTCACATCTGACTATCCATCAGCGGATGGGGCAAATGAGGGTGCGCCAGATGAGCAACCCTTGACTTCTGGCACGCCTCAGAGGCATCCCATATTCAATCTTACTGAAGGTGAGGGATATGAAGATATTTCACCAAGAGGTGGGCAGAATGCTGCCAAGTGTGGCCACCAGAGTCCACACAATCAGGGAAATGGGGCAACACCCCTGGAGATCGACTCATCCATATGGATTCAGGACACAAGTGCCATCAGTTCCTGTGATGACTTGCAGTCTTCTCACCCAAGTGACACTGCTGCTGCCACTGTGAGCGCTGCCAAGAAGTCCTTGGGCATTAATGAAGGCTATAGGATCAGCAGCACGAGAGGTGAGCTCTGAACACCCTTCATCGAGGGTGCTGCAAATGTTGGGATAAACTGCTGGCAACTAGGCTTTGTTATGTGCGTCAGCATTAGACCAGGTCACCTGTCTCAGACATTGTGATTTACTTGTGAAACTGCAGATCCAGCAATGGTGCACATACCAGCAGAAAATGGCTGCTTGCTACCGTCTCCACCATTGGTGCCAACGCACATGCTGTTGAGCACAGTTGGTGCAGCTTCAACAAGACAAGATGTTGCTTTGGGCACGATTGACTTTGGTTGAACGTTGATTGTTGACTCTCAGGGTGAAAGGACAAATGGGCTGGTGGTCAGGCTCACATTTGGTGGTCCACGCAAGCTTGCAGTAATGCGAAAGCCCTGGGCTCAGTGCACAGCATGTTGTTGCAAGCACTGGCTTACTGGACACACACCACTGAAACTTGATCGAAAGTGGTAGGTGAATGCACCTGCAGGCATCCTACAGTGGAATCCATGTTTGTTGAGCTGGACAGACACCATTGTGGATTTATTTGCCTATGGGTATTCCACCATGTACAATACAAATGCACTGATGGCCAGGTGAAGGACAGCGCAGAGCCAAATCTGCAGGCCAGACTCCACGAGGCACATCTCCCAAGTATGATTGTACCAATGGTGGCGATCGAAAGCATGGTGATCCAGCACAAGGAGCACAATATGCTGGGCCGTTCTTCCTCAGTTTTATGGATAAATGTGCAAATCGACACTCACGAGAAGCTGTGCAGCAGCGTGTGGAGGCCGAATCCAGTCAAGACCTCACATTCAAGCCCAAAGTGTACTCTAAGAGGCACACTTCTACCATGGCCTACCCCAGATCCAGGTGCGGTGAGCAGGACTTGGTATACTAAGACAGTCATGTGCTATGTTGCAGTAGCAGCAAATCCTGTAGGAGGCCACGGCCCGGTGTGTGCCACACACTTATGGTCTCTGTGGTTTCAAGGGAAACTAAGAGATTCTATGTTGCAAAACTGGAGTTGCATGCCCATGTTGTGCCACATACAAAGCCCACAAAACTGCGAGAGACAAGATTTGGCGTTTCAGAATTGCTAGGATTTCCACAGCGACAGGCAGGATTCTCATATGCCAGTTTGCAGTATGAGCTGGCTGTCACCCACCACCTACTGTGCTGTGTATTTCTTGGAGATGTGCATATTTGAAGAGTCCTATCCATCTGAGATATGTGCAATGTGTGTATTCATATTTTCACACCCCCTCCAAGTGCAACAGCCACCTGATTCTCCTGTGTTGTTGATGTCCAGGGAGGAGCGGATACGGCAGCTTGCTCAGCCCAGGACAATTCAGTGGGAGAAATATGCAAAGGTGCACCAAGCAATGCATGCCGAGCATTGCAAATTCCTTATCAGGGCATAAGCAGAATCAGCAAGCGTAATGGCCCATGCCAGAGAATGTGCTTCAACAGTAGTGAGCACATATGTGCCCAAGGGGATGCATGTCTGGTTGGTAAGAGGCACGCGCCTGTTTGTTTTTTCAGGGAGGAGCTGATGTTGATCAGAATCTGGCTGTTTCAGGAGCGGCACAGCCAGGCGGAGAAAGCACTAAAGCAGTGCTCATTTGCTCCAAAGACTGGACGCGGCCCTGAGAATGAAGATGCAAGGAAGAAATTGCCAGTGACTGAAAGACTGTACCATGCGTTTGATGATAGGGGGGCAGTCAGGTAAGGGCTGCACTAACCTGACAGCAGTTTTGAACCTGCCCTTGTGTTGGCACTCTCTTTGGAACCGAGGTTGCTCATCTATAACTTCCTGACCAGGGCCAAATTGAGGATGGAGCAGGAGCAGTCCAGAGTTAAGCAGTGCACGTTCAAGCCAGCAACAAATACCCAATGTGTGAAGCTTGATGGCTACACGCCCATCCAAGACCGTGTGCCAGAATTGCAGCAGAAGAAAAAAGAAAAGCTGCTCATGCACAAACTTGGGCAGGTGAGATTTCTGGCACAGTTTGAGAACCGGTTTAAGAGTTGTTTTTATCTGTTCTGATTTCATGGGGTGGCTCATAATCCTTAGTGGGCTTTGTGGTCAGGCCGCCGACCCAAATATGACTTTCGCCCCTGCGCTCAACAGCAAGTCAATCCAGTTGGCTCAGGAAAAGGGACAAAGGGGAATCCAGGATGAGGGCCCAGGAACTAGATGCTCAGACTGCGCAAATGGGAGGCTCAAGTGAGTAGGATGGTTTATGTGGAATCCATATGCAAATGTACATGCACCACACAGATGCCCCATCTACTGTGTTACTTCTGTGTCCTGCATTGCATCGCGTTGCATTACTGTATGCAGGCAGACTGCTTGGCTTCAGCCCACATGGCTTACTTTGTGGCATGTTGTGGATGCTGCCCGTGTTGCAAGATCGAGAGAGGCACAAGTGTTCTATTGCATTCATCTGACAGACAGTCCCCAACAAATCATTTGCCAAGACATTTCGCAGTCAGGACCCATCTCTGAACAGAATCTGGGTAATCTTTGTTTGCCTGGGTAACGAGTGGAACCTGGGGAACCGATGCATGTGGAAAGTCAGGTATCGGTTGGAAGCTGGGCACCATCGCTTTTCCAGCTCCTTCGTGCATCTGAAATAGCCACACAGCAACATAGGTGACATGCTATGCAAATGACACTCCAACGAGTGCTGCCATGTCTAGGATCTGGGCTTTCTTTGTGTGTCTTCGTCACTGTGTCATGTGCCAGGATTACAGAGGATGCTCTGGAATGGGAGTGCACATTCACCCCCAACATCAACCCCTGTTCATCGCAGCTGATTGGGCAGGCTCAACTGCCAGAGAATTTTCTGGAGCGTCAGCAGTATTTCGAAAACATGCAGAGGGAGAAGCAGAGGATTCTGCAAACAGAGATGGTAAGCTGACATCGCCCAAAATTGGTCATCTGAATTGATTGAACGTCGTCGATGGTCAGGCTGGCTGTAGGTTCGATATTGTGTTACCAATGCACCTTGCCATTTCCCTCAACACAAACGAGCTGCGATCTTGCGGCCTGTGAAGTGTTTGTTTTGTTTCTTCTGACTGTGGCATAAAGAATTACGATCGTAAGACAGCCACTATTTTCAACACCTCTTCTTGCAACTGAGCTTGCAACAGGAATATTTGTGCTGAATGTGGCACCATCATATGCTGTAATGAAACTTTTCCTGTTCTTAGGAGGACAGGGAGTGCAGTTTCCGACCAAACACCGGGAATGCATGTGAGGTGCTGGCAGGAAGCAAACTTGCCGACCGATTATATGAGAGTGCTGAGGAGCGTGTGGAAAGGCTGGCTTTCAAAGATCAAGACTCCAGGCAATGGTCGAGGGACGCCTTGAGTCACCACCACTATGCGCAATTCACTTTCAAGCCGCAAATAAACAGCAGATCCAAGAAAATTGGACAGGTGACGATCACCGACTGCTGATGCAGGACTTGCCTCATCGGGGACAGTCTGTGGTTGGCATTTTCTTCCTTGTGTATTCCGTGGGCATTATCTGTTTGCGGCTGCTTGTTTCTGAGCCATTCCGAGTTGTCAGCTTGTGCCTTTCCGGTGGTGTGCCTTCTCGCATTCGGGATGGTATATGCCAACCAGCAGCAGCTGATACCAAGATGTGTGTCGCCGAATGGAAATATTTGTGTGGTCCTGGCACTGAAGGTCCATATGTTCTCCTGTGATCATGACAGCGCCAAGAGCATGGATGACGCATCTCGCTGTAATGGAGGATGTGGGAAATAACTCCACTGTGGCCCGCACTGGGCTTGGGGATGCCAGCAAGGATGCATTTTCTTGTACACAATTGTCTCATTGCTATCCTGCACATTGTCAGGTACACCGCTCCATGACGGCACTCAGGGGAATAGGCATATACTGGCGTCAAGCACTGAAGGATTGCTCATGCGAGTGACATCTTTTGCTGCATTGCATGTCTGGGATGACTGGATTGAAGATATTGTGGAGTTTTTTTTTATTTTGCAATAAATGCATGTGCACAAAATCAGCCGATTTGCCTTGCTGGGCGTCAACACAGTGACCTAGAACCATATCGTATGGATGCCCCATCCGGGGTCGCTTCAATGCGATTGTGGTAGCAATGCCTGCAGGAGCAGGCGAAAGAATTACGAGAAAAATGTCAGCACAATGGCAGGAGCACACAGTTTTCGCTGGGTGCCTTGAACCTCATGGCTGTCTCAAAGAACGTTGTCTGCTTGTACAGGACAAGACAATAGAGGAACTGCATAGGTGTGCCAACCATAGGCTATGCGTAGAGAGGGCAAAGAGGGCTGCGCAGGAGCAATTCTTCAAGGAATGCAGCTTCAAGCCAGACACAAGCCTGACGAGAGCAAAGAGCTGCAGACTTCTGGCTTCCCAACAATTGGCGCAAGGGGTGTGTATGCCCAAACGCGGCGCTTTTAAAGGGCCCCAAGCCGACTTGATATGAACCGACATATGCAGCGGCCATGATGGTCCTTCGGCATTGCACACTTTTCCAGGAGACCATGCATAAGCTTCTGCGCAGACACCGACAAGTCAGTGATCTTGCCCTGATGTGTCTCAAGATTCAACACGAACTTTACAATGTTGGTCTCACCGCTATCAATGAGCTAACAAGATCAGTACATAGAGTGACCGATATCGGCGCACAGTTAATTGACAATCGCGGTGAAAGTCGCTGTTGTTCGCCTCTGCTGCGCATAGCCTCCTGTGGAGCTTCTGCAGCGGGTTGTGCGCTACAGGAAGCGGAAAGAGCAGCGGCTGGCCGAAATTCGGGATGCTCAAGAAAGGCGAGAAGCGATGGAATGCACATTTGAACCTGAAGTTCGCCGAGACGTCCCCAACCAGCAGGTGATTGTCACGTGCGGTGTCGTGGATAATGTGCTGGTATCGTAATTGCACCGAGCAGATGCTTTTCAAGTATATGTGCAAAGAGGTTGTTGATGACCAACATTGCGGGGAACAAGAATGTGAAGCAGTGTTGCAACAGCCGAAAGCTGTGGGCACTCAAGTGACTCGCCTTGGGTTCATTTCGACAAACGTATGGTTGCGGCAGACGTCCATCGACAGATGCGTGCAGCACCCGGCGTCCAAGTTGTGCAGCCAGCTCTTCCGTGAACGTGCGCAATACTAGCAACACGTAATCTTACAAGGATAAGTGACCCGCGGTTGGTACCAGCACGTACCAACAGGACTGGGTGCAACCTTGAATAGTCCAGACTCACAGGTCTGCAAGTCTTCTATCCTGGTTTGTTCCACAGTGTGGGGAAACGAAATGTTGGCGTTGGCGCAAGAGGCAGCTTTCTTGATGACTGTTCTTATTGAGCCACGGTCATAAGTCCTGAATCCATCGCCGCCACACTTTTTCGCCACACAGTATTGTACTACCCTGCAGTCCACAGAAAGTCCTTGTGGGAGTGTCCGCAATGGCAGTGCGTGCAAGGCTGTTGCTGCGCAGGAGGCCTCAAGGCCAACGGGCTCGTTGTCTCAAGTAGTAATAGTATATGCGGCGCTGGTACATACTTGGCTACACAAACCGGACACTGACGCCCGACCTGCGCCGCACGGTAATCGAGATTGCATACAGGCCGAAGCTCCTATCGCCCGCAACCTGTGCACTTTTACGGCGCAGAGCCTGCAGTTGCCAGTTTAAGTCCAGGAGTTGCTCGCGATGATTTTTGCCTTTGGAAGAAAAATGGGTCGACCACGCTGCAGGCACCAGTTGTTGTCCGTGGGCTGGGCCGCCATTTGGAGTTGCAGATGCTGGCAAAGAGGCTGAAGGACGACCACGAGGAGCGCGCCTCCCGGGCTTTCATTGCCAACCCCAAATCCACATCTACACACTTCACTGTTCCACAACCGTTCAATCTGACGGAGGCTCGGGATCAGGTACGCCAGTGGTCGGAACTGGGTGCACCGCGAAAGGCCCAGTGAAATGCTCCATTCTGCCACTCGCTTCCACCTGCCAAGAGCTGACACGCGCAAGCATACGCCACAGTTCAGATGCGGTTGGTGAGTTTGCCAGCAACCAGACGCTCCCGGAGACCAGCTTCGGCGTTGCCGGCTGAGGCGTCCGGTGGGAAGTTCAATAGTCCACGAACACACAGCCAATGAAGAGATGAGAATGAGATTGGCTTCACTGATTCGATGCAAAAAATTGTGCAAACTGAGCCGCTCCAATTTGCGCCTACGCCGCAGGCCAAACTTAAGATGCGCCGTGCCAAGGTTCAGGAAGCCCTTTTGGCCCAGGCCATGAAAGAATGCACATTCCGACCCAAAACCAACGCTGGATCCAACCGAGAGCTCATCGAACGCATCCTTGAGGCCGAGTCGACCAACTCCACCACCATTCAAACGCACACGTGATCGAGTCGCCGACGCCGCGTTTCCAAATTTCGTTGTCCCGATCGAAACGGCCTCAATCAGAATCAGTGCAATTGGCTAACAACCTGCAAAGGAGGCGAAACGCCATTTTGTCTTGCCTGCGGCCTTGCGCACCTCCCTGTATCTCAGCGGTGGCCCCACAGGGGACCCAACGTCACCTCAGCCTTTCCACATCTCAACTTGCGTTTGGGGCTGGCTCGCCACAACCCGCAAAGGACTGTTCAGAACTGCATGTCGGGTTCTCTAGTGGCAGTTTTTCCCCCAGTTTTGAGGATGTGAACTTACGACGCTGTTCATGGATGGCCCAGTGCCGGGATGCTATGGGGCCTTTCATAGACCCCTGGGTTCTCCAGCGAGAATATGTGAAGGGTGCAAACAGAGCGAACAGGCATGAAGACAGTTGGACGGCAAACCATCTGGCCCGATCCCCAGAATGCCCCCCCAAGTCGATGAACGCAGCAAACTGTGCAGATTGGCGTCCTTTGCAACTTCGAAATGGGATTGTGCGAGCAATTGGTCGACGACCATACTGCAGTGGCCATCCTTGTATCCCCTTGCCCTGGTGGTATCGCCAGAAATTACCGTTGCTTGCGTCCCCAACCACTGGGCATAGCGGACGTTCCTGGGCCAGGGCTGGATGTTGTTGCAGGACCGTCGCGACCGCCACCGCTTTCTGCAATTTACCTCTGAAATTTGTGTGAAATGCGTGACCATGCTTGTGCAGAGATCTGCGCATGTAGCCAGAGCGTACAAACACTGCGACGGGATTATGGCGACAGCATCCGTACGTGCATGGGGCCATCAATCCAATACTGTGCTTTCATCCCCAATACAAGCAGCTTCGAAGGCATTGGCACCGTCGTGAAATGTGGGCGTGACGACAGACTGAAATGAGCAGGCGCCGTGTGTACCAGACGAAACGCACATGTTCTCTACATTTAAGGATGTTGGGAACTACTTCAATGCATCTCAAATGAATATCAGAATGGGGATATTCCCCAGAGCTGTCGTGAACGCGCCGTCGTTGTCGAAATTTGAACGAAAAGAAGATGCAGCAGCCGCTGCGGGTGTCGCGTTGTGTTGGAAATCATCAAACCTTCGAATTGGCAGCACCCAAATTCGGTGGAAAAGCCACCTGTCTGGAGGCTGGGTCGCCAGACACGCGTTGAACAGTCATTCCAAGAACACTGCCTATGTGCGAAACACGCACTCCTGAACACTACTCAATGCCCTCGCACACCTTTTGTGCAACTCCTTATCCACACTTCCTACGATCCAGTCCGTCCAATCGAGCGCCCGACCCAGCAAGACCGCACCCCGAGCTGCTCTTATCCAATACGGAAGAGAGCTTGTCTCCATCAGCGGCGCTTTGAGCATTGAAAGCAACGCCCCGCACAATCCAGGCTGTCGATTCTCTTGCCAGGCGACAGTCCCGATGGCCATGGCTGCCCGATTTGCGGCGCCTCTGATCAGTGACGGATTGCTAGAAACTTCCTGGCAGGCTGCGCCTCCGAGAGGACCGCAGGGCTTCTGGCATGGGCCTCCGTGACGGCTTGTCATGGGATTCGAGGTCCTTGAGCTTGTCCTGAACAGGGGCAAAATCATGTCGCGATTGTCAACAATGCGCCATTAGGCTCTGTTTCGCTGCTGAGCATCGAGCCTCATCGATGAATAACCCGTTCTTTGCAATGTTTGAAGAAGTTCAAATCAAGTGCTTCAAGCATTGCAAAGAGCGTGTTAGTCATTCCAATGTGATCACGCAGGAAGGCAATTTGCACGTCGTATGCCTGTCAAGCTTTTACATGGAAAACGCCGGAGATGGCCCCCGGAGGTCAAGTTCATATGCCCAGGATAATTATACATGCACGGTTTGCCACACGTGCTGTCGAGCTACGGCTGAGATTGGCATCTACAAATGTCAAGAAAGCATGGATTAAAATGCATTTCTTCAAGTTTACGCCGTTGCCTGCGATTAGCACCAGCCTTTTAGCTGCACTCACCGGTGAGATAAATCCACGCCACCAACACCAGGAGGCATTGTAGCTTATGTCGCGCATAAGTTTGCAAGCATGGTGAAGCAGCTATATTTGGCACTTGGAGCAACATCGCAGAAAGGCGTGCAGCAAGCAACAGTAACGCAATGGCAGTGGTAATGTTGCCGCTGGTGCGTTGTAGGACACCCAAAGTTTCCTCATGAACATTGGTTAACGTTGTGCGACTTCTACCAGTGCAACATATTGGTCACTTCCTGCCAAACACCCTCTACATTGCCAGAACACGATGTGCAATTCAAAACAATGCATGTATTGAACAGAATTGCGCAAAATGGCCTAATCGTCAAAGCGGCAGGCCGTGTCTCACGCTGTGCTTTCGAAGCAGTTCCTTTAGAACTTTCTGCCTAAGATGCTCCTGGTCTCGTGCTGCATTTCTGTATTTCCTCCGGGCGTGCCGCAGAGCCCGAAGCTCCTCTTGAATGCTCCTTGCAGATGTCCTGTCCTCCAGACCGGGGGATGCCGATGGTGATAGGTCGGCGCCTTCTGATCTCGGAGACCCCGTGGGGGACGCCAGACGGGGATGGCGTTGCTGCGTAGCCACAACAGGCTGCGATCATGCGTGATTCATTTGATGGCCATTTGAAGTCACATCAGCATTAGCACCTGCATCGCCATTATCCGGCGTCGAAAATTGTGCCCAGACACAGGCGCGGCGACGGGCGGCAGCCATCTCAGCTCCACATTTGTCGAGTCTCTGTCACTGCAGGTGCGCTCCGCCCACGCGTGCCGGCAAACGGTCATCTTGCGCTGTCACGTGGCATCATGCCCACTTCTGTGGGCCGCGCCCTCGTAAACCTGCGGAGACTGAGGCATTCCGGCTACCTGACTCGATTGCGGCAACTCGGGCGCAGTTGACGGTCTGACGCCGGAAATCTGAAGCCGCTCCAGTTTCGAATTCAGCCTGCCGAGTTTGTCGTTCTTCTCGCGGAGCTCCCTCTTGAATGTTGAGGCCGCCTCCCTCAGCGCGTGTTCCAGCTCGTGCCGTCGCTTGAACTCCTCTTCTCCGTTTTTCTTGATTTCGTCAACCTGGCTGGTGAACAATTGCGAACGTGGGGTTTTCAGCACTCCGTGTCGAATGACAGCCGCCCCGCATGACGTGGCGTGGCGATGTGCATTGTTCGGATGGCACTGCTGAAGTCGCGTGAAGGATCCATTGTCGTATATTTTGGCGGGAAAGGTCGCGACACTGCCAGGATGTACAGAACACACGGCTGCCAGATCGGGAGAGAATTGCATCTTCAGTTGTGTTTGGAAAGGTAGCGGCGCAAATCCCCCTGACTGGGGAATTTACCTGCAGGAGCGCGCCTGTCAAGGCACTCGCAGAGATTTGCCTGCAATCTTTTGGGAAGAGAACAGTGCAATACAACCACGGGGCTGGCTGCAACGAAATACACGCGTATATTGAGAGTATGGAGGTGTGAGTCTCATACCTGTTGCAAGAGGTGGACCCTTTTCATTTCCTTTTTTGCCTCCCTTTTCGCCATTTCTGTCAGCCTTTGAATCAGCCCAAGGAGTTTCTCTTCCATTTCGGCTTTGAAGGCCTCATCCTCCGCCATTGCCTCTTTCTCGAGCTTGCTTAGTTTCTGTCTCCACTCTTCATTTATATCGTCGCGCTCCTGTGTACAATGAGACTAAGGGGTCAAAGCGACAGCTTGCTCGCAGGTCGAACAAACGATAATTATGGAGCCATGTTTTCCACAGGTTTTATTGCCAAACCACCAGCAGGGCTTGTTCAGCTCGGAAATGTTTATGAGAAAAATGTTCCGGGAGATCCGGGTTTCTGCTTGGCAGGCCCGACATAGAGGGCAGCACAGGTGATGTGTGGCCATCGCGCTGATCTTGCGTAGGTATCGCACAGCATAATTTTAATTTGAACACGGTAGTGTGAAGGGGATCACAGGTGGCTGTCGGAGAAACCTGAACCTCTGGAGAAGATTTGTGCTCACCTTCGCGAAAGCTGCCTGCTCATCATGGAATTTCTCAAGCCAAGCTTGCTCCATCTCCAGTGTTTCCGCCTCACTTTTCTTCTTGGCTTCCTCGATCTTTCGCTGAGTGCTCTTCTCCGACTCTGATTTTTCACTGGCAGATCTGGCACGGGCGTCTTTGAGCTTTTGCGCCCAGTGCCTAACAGAAGCAGCTGCATGTCTTTTCTCGTGCGTCGTAACCAAAGAAATTGCGGTGGGTTGACGTTTATTTATCTTAAGGAAGGAAAAAGTGCGAGGGGGGATTTCCTTAACGCGATGTAAACAGTTGAGCTCAAACTCAAGGGGAAATATCGTATTGCGATCCGATATTTTGCGAAGATGTTGATGCTGAAGAGTTACTCCCTCAACGTTGCACTGTACAGCGTATTTCGCTGGATTTTGGCGAGAGCTGGTCCCATCGGTGGACATCACACACCTGCAAGCCTGCCGCTAAGCGATGCTTATCGCATCGCTCTGTTTGACATGCCTTTGGATTCTTACGAGCTCTGTCTCAAAAAAATTCACATTGCGCAGCCGTGCAGAGTGCGGATCTGTGACCTTGGCACATCGAGCAAACACCATCGAATCTTTCTTCGCTGTTCACCACTTGCAAGGTGCAAGGGTTTGGCTTGACAATGTCATGTCTTTTTAGAAAATGCGCTCATGGAATTTCATTCTAGCGCGCTGCACATTCCCATGAATTTGAAATATCAAGTCAAATCAACTGAATCAGGAATGCGCACAATCTGCACTTACTTTTCCAGAGCCTCCTTTTCGCTGGCCGCTTTGAGCTCCAAATCTATTCGGTTCCTTTCGTGAACTAGCTTCTGTTCTTCGAGACGTTGTGCGCATTCAGCCTTGACGTCAGACATCTCTTTCGACTTGTCCCGCTCCGCGCACTGCTTCTCCACTTCTATTCTCTTTATATGCTCCATTTCCATCGCTGAAATTTCCTCTGCATGCAAGCGATGCAAATCTTCGATTCGCTCATCGCAGTACCGCTCTTTCTCTTGCACATCGCGGTATCGACGCTGCTCTGCCTCAGAGAATTTCTTCGCTGGCAACGAAATGACCTTTTAGTGCTTGGAAATCCCTACCGCCATATCTATTCATGCCAAACGAACAATGAACTGCAATAACAGCATCTTCAGGATATCACTTTTGTCACACTCACTATTACATTGTCATATTCAGTATGCAATTCAATTTGAATTGCCAACATTTTTTCTGGCTTGCGCGGCGTCTTCCCTTGGTTTGAATGGCAAGAAACATTCCCCCATTCACCCACGAAGAAAATGAACGCTGTATATGTACATTTACATCTTTGTATTAATACAGATGTGTACAGCTACAGGCGTATATTTGTGTATTCATTTGTGCAATACGAAAGACACAAGTCAATACTGAAAGAAGGGTACTCTGTGGCACTGCGACACCGAAGATATACAAGTAAATCCACCGCTGCACAGATTATAACAGATAAAAATCTCAGATGCTATCTGTTGCAAGCATTGAACAAAGAAGCACAGAGACCAAATTAGGCTTAAGTGATGTTCATCCCAATTTTCTCTTTACTATGCCTCGGGGGAACTTCCATTCAGAATGTCGTACGAAACTGTAACAGACATCTGCTGGTGCAAAACCTTACTGAGCCACTGGTACATTTTGCTGATGGTGCGCTGCACTGTCGCTTGCGAGGCGGCCACGCTCAGTGCACTGCTGAAGTGCCTCAAGCATCCAGTCAAAAGCAATGACGCTCTGCAGAATGCCTGTGTGCAATCCAATACGCGGTTTCGAAGCACAACGCACCCCAGTCGGTTTCCACGTCTTCCAACTTCTTGGACCACTCGTGGACGGCGCTCAACAATTTCTTAGACCAATCATGATCCGACTTCGAAAGCCGCTTGGACCAGCTCTTTTCGCTCTCAGAATTGTGCTTCTCCGCTTCCCTTGCGTTTTCCTGCGCATCCTTGACCAGCTTCTCCTGCCTGATGAAATCGCTTTCGAGTCTCTGCACAACGCTCTTATGTTCGGAGTCCCGCCTCATGGATTCCTCCTTGATTTCCTGGAAACAACTGGAAATCACATCTGTCAAATCCAGCGCACGGTCAACACGTCTGAACCTGGGTGAAGCTATAGGAATTCCAACAGTGCGATCTGCTCGGTCAAATGAAGCAAAATGCAATGGCCAACCACGCCATAAACCGTTTTCCTCGTCCATGCTCAATTGAAAGGAATTCACCTGCACCATGCGCTTTGTACTCAAGTTAATCGAACAGGGAAGGTGCTGCTGGAAGAGAGGAAAGCATATTGACAACACGACCTGACGCCGTCAACACATGTGAGCTCGACGCAAATTGCGTTGCCAACATGCAGATCCATATTCAAGCTCAGATTCTACTTCGCAAGCTATTCGCCATCTGAAGAGGGCAACTCCAAACTGAAGCGGTTTTTGCCACGTTATGCAGTAAGGCTTTTGATCCAGGATACTTGCCAGTTGACGCTCAGCCATTCCCCAGAGAGCTATGAACGATGGCAATTACCTGCAGTTCCACGTTCAATTTGTCCTGTTTCTCCACCGATTCTCTAAGAGCTTTCTCCAGAGCATCTTTTTCTTCCGTCAGCTGAGTAATCTGCGCGACGTCAACAATGGCTCAGCCACGTTTATGAAACCTGATTGTAGCAGCGACAGCGTTGGTGGTATTCTGTTTCTCGCTGCCAATGATGCGTTCGAAAATGGATTCCTTCCCATATCTATTGCATGGCTTCATGTTCAAGGGGAGGAAACGAAGTCACTCATATGCTTATTCATGTTTCTTTGTGGTACCAATTTCAGAAAATGCAGAAACACAGTATCAAGAATCTCTGCAGTACTGCTGACCAATGCTGTTGGGTCTGTTGTGAGATGCACAATGACCACTTCCGGTGATTCAACAGACAGTGGAAACAATCAATAATGTATGGCATGTTGATGCAGCGCGTGCTGCAGAGATTTGACGTGCGCCTCATTATTCAGAGCACAATTTTCATTTTGTTGACACGAACCTTGTCAAGGCACTCATCTATGTCCCCTTCTTTTTCACCGGCGGATTTTTCAAGCTGTTGATTTGTCTTTTGCAGCTCTTCTGCGGCTGTGCCCGCGACTTGAAGCTTTTGTTCAAGGTCTTCAACTTGGGCACGATATTCGTCTTCCCTTGCTTTGAAGTCTGATTGAAGCTGCAAGAGTTGCTCCTGTGGAGCACGATTAAAGCATGATTGTGGCACATTCTAGTCCACGCGGATGTGCAGTACTCAGCTCAGAAAAATGAGAAAGTTGAAACCCAATGAAAGAGAATCAAACTGAAGCTGAAGAGAGGTCGGCCCAGCGCAACGCAGCGATTTCTCAAGACGACCTTGACAGATAGAGGGTAGGTAGCGCATGAGTCACCAACAGGGTAAGAAGCCTCATGTTCCATTGTTTACAGGTGTCTAAAAGGAAGGGATAAGTCGACGGGGAATGCGAGTCCCTCAGAAATTTGGAGATATACAACGATCCACTGTTTTTGCGCTATATTTCAGAGGGAATGAAATTTATGTGATGGGGTGCCACACGGTTGGAGCCTAACCACATCCCCAACAACCACCTGCCTGCATCTTGTCTTCTCGCTCCCTGGATATATCCAGCTGCTTTCTGCATTCTGCAAGCTCGTCTTGGGCCAATTTCAAGCTTCTAGAGTGGCTATCCTCCTCCTGGATGACACAGAAGATGTGAGCTCTTGCAATCACTCCCTCAGTGAACAGCAGCTGTAGTGGTGTCGATCCAACCGTTAAAAATTACAGTTTGTGATGGTCCGACCGTGTCGAAGCTGCCCCACCATTCTAGCCAATCGATTAAAGTACGAAAGCACATGTCGGCCGAAAGCTGTTGCGATATTCAGGCTCACCTAAAACGGCGAACATATTGTATATTTATGCGCCTATTCGCGCGTATTATGACTTTCCATACCTACACATAGCTTTGTGTATTAATGCACCATGTGGAGGTACAACGCAGGGCTGTGCGTTTGAACGTATGAATATAACCCTCGCTCATTATACCGCCCAATAAACAATTCAGGTCAGCCCCCAGTCGTGCTGACGCAATCTCTTTATGCATTTGTGTGGGTGCATCATTGGGTTATGTATAGAAGCGTATACATACGGGTACTTACGTTGCCGTATTCTATAGTGGTATAGACGTAGCTTATATGGCTGTATATATGGAAAATGTTCCTTACCTCCTCCAACTGCTTTCGCAGTGCATTTTCCTGCTCCTGGCTTGAAGACAAAGCCTGCTGGAGCTGCTCGATGGCTGTCTGGCGACGCAACACAAACGCCCAGAAATGAGCGAGCGAAGCCATACTCTTAAAATTTCTGTGTCGAGGATGCTGCTTCTAATATCGCGGGTTTAAAATTCAGGAGAAATACGGGCATGAAGTCCAATGCTAAACAATGGACGAATTGTTGGTGTGGTCACTCGTGATGATGTGTAGTTCCGATAGTGGAAGGGATGCATGAAAGGGCTTGCAGCAGTTTCAATAACTAATCCTCGAAAGGGCGGCTGTGAATGCCAGCATGTCGAGTCGTGCGAGCAGATAATCCTCTCGTGATTTGCGTGAACATCTCTGCGAATTTAAAATGCCATTTCTTCACGTTTCGCTGTAGGAAACGCACCTTAGTTTTGTAAAGGAGGTGTCCCCTTTCTTCTAGTTCCACATCTTTCTGTGCCAATTCCGCTTCCTTAATTCGAAGCTTCCCCTGCTCTCAGGACCACCATGTTGCCACGATTAGAGAATTCAATTCGACGCGTTGCTGGGCTAAAGTCAATTGCGTGGTTGCCAATGGCCGAGGCTAGGAAGCTGAGCATTGGTCTTTTTAACAAAATGCACATATTTTTCGATTCATGACTGCCAATGCGATCCATCGACAGTGCCTTTCCACATCTCGTTGAGGCGTCCTGCACAAGACATAATAGGGGACTCTCGAAAACGGGGGAGCGGAAAGAAAGCGAGGCTCAATGAACACAATTCAATTCCGCCATTGTAGCTGAAATCATGTCAAAACACGTCGCCGCTCTGTTTTCAATCCGTTATATGCGCAAGCGCCCTTGCAAAAGGATACAGTGGGCTCAAAAATACATTTGCAATTATGAATAGAGTTATCTATTCCATTGAAATCATTGAGAAACTTGTTGCAGCTTTGAAATACAGTGGAGCGGCAGTATGTAAGGCATGCGCTGCTAGACAGGATTAAATAATTGGGTGTAGAGCATGAATTTCTTCCATCAAATCGCGGCAGCTTGAGTGGCTCGACAGAAATTGCTTCCTGATTTGCCCAAATGCTCTTCAAAATTATAGCGTCGCGTATCCATTTATGTCTGCACCATTTTTAGAGGCGCAAGTTGGCAATCTGGTATGCCTGCAAGTTCCTTTCTCAGCAGTTTGTGGCAAGTAGGCAAATTCGCAACGTAAAGTCAACGGTAAATTGAGATGACCCTTCCGGAAATCCATATGAGAGATGATGGGGATTCTGTTATCCCTAAGAAACGGCCGCTGGCGAAACTGGCAGCTCACCTGTAGCTCTTCGTTTGCCAGCATCCTTGCTGCGCATCCGCGAGAGCACGGACCGAACCGCTCCTAGCGAACGTCCAAATATTGTGTGCAGGGACGAAGTTCCAGGCTCCCCTGCAGGGAACTGGCGACTTCGAGACGATCGAAACGCAGCTGGAGCGTCCCTCTCCCCTCTCCGGCGTGAAAGTCAACGGCGTCAAGGCACGCAGGACGCAACACCCGACGCACGTCGGCCGCCTCTTCTGGCACTGGAATACAACGTGTTTCTTTCAGTCAAAGTGACACCCGTAGAGGACAAAAATCTCCAAGGCTTGTCCCCTTCGCTGCAGCTTCCCCAGGAAAAAACGCAGGGTTTTGGATTGGAGATCTCGACGCGGTGTGAAGCTGATAGATAATGATAAGCTCACAAGCCCTGTAAAAGCTGCTGATGGTTGTGATGGCGATGATGTCAAGCTCGCCCCTCTCTGCCCGCAGCTGGCCATTGCATCGTCACGCGCGAGTGCCTAGGGAGCCATCATCATGATTTTTTACAGAACAAGGCAGTGAGGTAGCCGTCAGCTTCCTATTTTGCCTGAGCAAAGCAGAGTCGGTGATTGGTTCATTGGAATCTATTGAGAAATACAAACTGAATCTATCATCTATGAACTTTCGATGCCTAGAAGTGATAATCGATGGTGATACATCAAACGAAGTGTGTTCGCAAGTTGGCGAGCTGTGCCTAGGGAGTCACACAATCCTGGGTAGGAAGGTACTAGTCATCATCATACTAGTCACATTTCCATTTCAAAGAGCATCCAGTGGAAATTAAAATCTCTGGGTGAATCAAACAATGATAACATCGATTGCTGAATCGACCATTTGCAGTGGTTCAAAAATGCTTGCAATGACCAGAATGCAGCTACCGGAATGCCGCCAGGGAATGTCACTTGAATCCGATCAGTACTCATATCAAATGTGGAGCCATGCGCTCAACATTAATGCATTGTTCACTACATTTGAAACTGACAATGCAGGACTTTTTCACCAAAACAGTGACGTCTGGCGTTGGCCCAAATTCCATGCAAGCGTTTGTCTGCATATTGCTTGCCCGCGCTCACTTCCGGCCAACAGTGAGCAATGTCGGTAAGTTAAAACAGTGGAAAGAAAAGAAATGTAAAAATCGCATCTCCGTTAAAAAAAACTGAGGTGTCCAGTGGACACAATCCACTGCCTGCTCGCCCTCAAACGCATGGAAAGCACTCAACGAAGAGTGTGCATATCTCGCAGTTGCCTTGGTGATGTCACAATCCCGCATCACCGGAGTTGGCTCATATCAACTCATATATTCTTGCACAACCACCGACAACTGGCTGACTAAATATATCCCTGGTAGCGTTTCTAAATTGACTTGCAAAAAATCCTTCGGCAAAGCGTGCCGAAAGGGGTCGAGAAATAAAACACAAGAGTGCCAGCAATCGGTGGTTCTATACACTGACCAGCCTTTTGTTGCCGTAAACCCTTGTCTACGTGAAGCCTTTACTGCATAGAATGAGTGCCCCTCTTTAACCCTACCCATGATCCGGACGATTACGGGATTGCGTGATGCATACACAGAATCCAGTTGCTGCCCCAGCGAGCCGTCTTTTCCTTTAATTTTCTTGCCTTCCACATTTTAGCAACCACGTCAAAGTGGATACGTCGTGGGCCTAGTGCGCAGGAGAAGGCAGAGGACACTGTACATCACAGTGTGCGACGGCTTTCCTTACTGAAGGAACGCTGTGGGTGAAGAGTGGCTGGGGGCACGAACCTTGCCAGGAGAGCCCCAATCTGTACGCCGAACCCCAGTCCCTGCAGCCTGGAGTTCCTTGAGGCCTCCTACGCCCAGCCGCTTTGCCAACGCTTACCACAACGTGACCGGTGCGTTTCACCGACACCAACAAACACGACAGCGGCCCTCGCGCAGCCCCGTAGCCGGACTTGGGTTCATGCCCTCAGCAGCCCGGGGCTACCTCCTGCGGCGGGGACTTCGTGGATTCACTTGCGTGGATCCCCCCCGTCTCTTGCAGCGCACCGGTGGCGCGCATCGCCCCATGGCTTCGGTGGGCCCTGCTGCGGCGCCAAGGGACCTGGGGGCGTCGCTGGGCAGGCTGCAGGCCAAGTTGGAGGGCGCGGCCGTGCGCAAAACGAAGGACTGGTTCGAGGGCTACTTGAGGCACGTCATCACGTACAGGGGCGTGAAGACGGCCGTCATTCGACGGCTCTTGGGGGAGTGGTGTACGGAGGAGGGCCTGGGGCTGGAGGAGCAGAAACGGGTGAGGCGTGCGCCGGATTCACAGGACAGTGGGCGGAGGCATTTGGGGTGTTGGGCATCCTACCTTTATGCCTTTGTCCGTGCTCGTCGAGGTTGACGTGCCAAGCAACGCTGGATATGGATAAGGGTCAAGACGCCCAAGTGAATATGTGCGCCTGCGCCGCGTTGCCCCAGTCCGCTCACATAAACCTTGCTTTCGGAGTGCCAAAAAGCACCGCCAGCTTGTTCTTGAGCACCTCCCCAGCATGTGCATTGTCTGGGTAAGGTGGTGCTGCAACACAAGAAGTTGTGCATCGATTTTCACTCAGAATTGTGCCCAAGAGCAGCTCGTGGCAATTAACAACGCGATTGGACCAACCAATGACAGCAACATGCACCATGCCCCACTTTCATCATATGCTGCAGAAAACCGGCATTTACACTTATCATAAGTCATTGTTAAGCCATAAGACAACAGAACGGCAGTTGGGTATCTTTCCTTCTGCCGGTTCTGTTTCCTATGACTCAAGAGCCCACTATGATTGCTGAAAATGCTGATTTTCTGCAACTCGTGGTGAAAGATACCTGCCACCTTTAGATGTGCTCGCTGTTGTGCCTGAATAAGTTGCAGCCAAAGTATTTGCTTGCACATCGCCTTGTAGCTCTGATGGCCAAAGTAGCTACCATTGGTGTTCTTGTTGCAAAAGAAACTCCATCGCAACTGATCCGCTCCTTCTGTTTATCACAGCTCAGTGCCAAATTTCATACAGCACTCCAGAAAGTCAAGGGTGCAATCTCAAGTAATCTGGCATTGTTGGGGTGACCCAATGCTAAGGTACATTGAAAAGGATGAGCAACAGCACTGTGTCCACAATGGTGGTATCAGAGCAAAATGTATCAGCTACCACACTGGCATGCATCCATTGTTAAGTCATTCAAACGAGATTTGAAGGATAGCCCTGCCTTACACTGCTCTCCATGTAGCTTGCATACATGCTCATGAAGTCTGAATACGCCGAGGACAAGTTTGCTTCTGCGATCATGCTCCAAAGCAAGCTCATTCCTGGAGGCGTGATTGCCTGGCAAGACGACCTGCCCATTTTTGCTGGCTTTTTCGATGATGGACACATCTGGGATTGGAGCACGTGCGATTGGTTTTGTATCCGTGTTCTTGGAATGCTTGTTGAAAGGCAGCAAGGTCCCATAGAAAGGGAAAGGTGTGCTAGGAGCATCGGTGACTGGCGCGATGCCGAGAATCTCTGGAGGAGAAGGGCGGCTTGTGTCTCCTTTGTTTACCTTGCGAAACGCGGCAATGAGTTCTTCCCTGGCTTCCAAGATATGCTGCTGGCCATCTGCAGCTCAACGATACGCAGTCCCGAGCGATTTCATCAGACGGGGACGGGATGGCTGCTGCGCGAAATAGGGACAGCGGACAAGCACTGCTTGCTGACCTTTTGTGAACTGCACATCGAGTTCTTCAGTTCGGAGGGACTGCGGTATGCATTGGAGAAGGTTCCCAAGGCAGAGCGGAACAGATTTTTGAACAAATTCAAGGCTAGTGGGGCCGCTCAGGGACTCGATGCAAGAAAACAGGGCGCCAAACGAAAACAGGAAGAACGGTAGAATTGTGCTGGTGGTGCAAATATTGCTGTTTATTTTGCATGGGACATTTGCATTGTGCTTGCACGATTGTGGCGGGGCATCAAATTATTTGCAGCGTGGAGATAGTGGATGAGTGGGTGTGTGTGCATCGAATGGCCATATTATTGAAGGGCAAGGGGGAGCGCATGCAAAGGGCAATGCACAGGTTGAATCCCAGCAGAGCGTAAATACACCACACCAGTGCTGTCGGTATTCAAGTATGCAGGGACGTAACTTGTTTTCGAATCCTCGATGGACCATATTTGTGATCGCTGTTCCGGTCAGCAACGACACAAGTTCATGTCATTGCTGCTGTGGATGGCCATATGCAATGGAATGCAAAATACTCAGGAAAGCCAACACGCTGGTAGCTGCTGCCCTGGATTTTGGTTGTTGAGAAGCCAGAGAGATAAAGCTTGGCGCATGTGGCTCCATGTTGGTCAGTACCTGCTTGTACTCGACACTTTCCATCATGCCAGCATCACGTTATGTTGTTGATTGCAGCTCATGCCCGGCAATGCTATCTGATAGTTGCAAGAGCAGGGGCGGCTCCATTGTAAAATATTCCCGCTGACTGAGCTTTATGTTACCGAAAAGGATAAATTTGGAATGCCCCCCGTTCACATCAAAGTGCAGGGGCTTTGGTTGCCCTGTGATAGCAACTGCAAAACAAGGACTTGCTGAAGATCACAGCAGATGCTGCAAAATCATCCAAAGCACGCCACTGCCCGCATTACACTCGTCGTATCTAGTGTACGACATCAGACGTCAGCGCATCAGGATGCATTTCCATGTTCTGTTCGACCGCTCATTTGGGGCGGCTTTTGCCGCAGTGATGCACCGAACTTCAACCCACACTGCGCGAGTTGATGCTCATCGCGTAGATGGTGGGGCCCGAGGCCCAGTCACGACGCCATCTATCCGGGGTTCATTGTAGTTCAGCCTGCCGTGCACATCACGTAACCTTGGGACACCCAGTCAATTTGTATCTTGCCTGCTGGACACCCGCTGCTCGGGGCGGCATGCCCCCGGTGGCCTGGCCCGTCAGCCCCTGTGTCGGAAAGGTGCGTGGGGCGGCAAACACGTTTGCATTTGCCACCCCTCTTCATCCCTCGCGGGTGCGATGCTCCATCAAAGCGCAGAAGATGCCGCCCAAACGGGTCGCGGAGACCCTCACTGGCAGGCTGCAGTCGAAGCTCGATGCCAGAGCCAGCCGAGAAACAAAGGGGTGGATCGAGAAGTACATGAAAAATGTGATTGAGGCCAGGGGGCTACAGACGCCCGACGTCGTGAGCATGGTAGCGGAGTGGCGGCGGGAGGAGGGTGTCGACGAGCTGGCGCCGAAAACCCAGAAGATGGTGGGGATGGCATAGGAAAGTGGCTTTGAACGACGTTGCAGGCAGCGGCCGTTCGTCTCCGCCCCACTGCTTGGGGACTTGTTCCGCTTCTTTCCATCAAAGTCTCGCAGCAAATGACCTCATGGCAGAGTGTCTGCTGGCAACCGAGGGATTTATCCCAGTTGCATTGAATTGCGAATTGGAATTGCCTCGCCTCCGAGCTTGCGGTGTCTGCGCACGTTCCCACCATCAGCGCTGCGGACCATGACCGTGGTGTTGCCGTCCAGATCGCCACTCTGCTCATGAAGTCGGATTACACAGAAGACAAGCTGGCGAGCAGCCTCGTGTTCCAGACGTGCCTGATTCCCAGCGGCAGCATCGCCTGGCGGGACAGCCTCCCGTGGTTTGCCTCCTTTTTCGACGACGGCCTCATCTGGGACTGGGCCTCTTGCGACGGGTTCTGCGGCCGCGTCCTGAAGCACCTGGTGATGTCACAGAAGGAGCGAGCAGAGCGAGAGGCGTGCGCCAGAGGGATATCTGAATGGCGCAACGCCGAGAACTTGTGGCGTCAGCGGGCGTCATGCGTGTCGTTTGTGACCCTAGCGAAGCAAGGCGATGCGTTCTTTCCCGGATTCAAAGACATGCTGCTGGACGGATGCGGCACGACCGTTCGTCGGCAGGAGAGGTTTGTTCAGACGGGCACAGGGTGGCTCCTTCGGGAAATTGGGAAGGGGGACGAGAGCGCGCTGGTGGAATTTTGCGAGTGGAATTTAGAATGGTTTACTGGGGAGGGACTGCGATATGCTGTGGAGAAGCTGCCCAGAGAGCAAAGCAGCAAGTTGAGGGACCGCCACAAGGAACGCCGCGCGCGCCAGGGAGCGAACACTGGGGGTGAAAGGGAACCCCAGAAGCGCAAGCGAAAGCCGGAAGATCGTTAGTCATCGACATCCTGGTACAGCTGCTCGCACAACCGCTGGGTGGCGGTTGGAAAAGGCCGCGCTGCAATCGCCACTCATTATGGAGGATGAGCGTGAGCAGCGCCAACGTGTTCCTTGCTCGACTGTACGTATTGTCCATGATCTTGGTGCTTCCAGCTGGTTCCTCCCTGACGCCGTCCGGGAGGCGATGTGATTAGCGGTTCATAAATGAGTTTCTGATATAGGAGGCTTGGGGTGCGCCTGGCACTTCAGGTGGTGCCGACAGCCAGGCATATTGTGCCAGCCGGTATCCAGTGTGGGTTGGACGCATTGGCTTAATGGCTGTGCTTGAAGTCGGCCTGGGGGTCCGTTGGGCTATTTGCACGAATTTCAAAGAGAGCCAGGGCTTGCGTTCGGATGGGGCGCCACGGCGTGCTTTCTCATTTGACAGCCGGCCGCCCTACTTAGCGCTTGTTCCTTGCTCGCAACTGGCCCGGCTATTGTCCAATGTCAGTGCGAACAATACATTTGATGAAGCGAATGAGCATGTGATGTCACCCCTGGACATTTGCTGCAGCCAATCGATATGACAATCTGTTGTACAGCTACATGCGCGAAGGGATTCCTCAGGACACCTTGCGGGGTCAGCAAACGGATGCAAAGCCCAGTGCCATCGAGGCATGTCATGTGCACGGCAGCAAGATGCGTGGCCTTCCTGGTGTTCGTTTTGCGCGGAAATGATGCAAAAACAGCGTAGCTTTTGGCCGTCAGCATGGCAATGCTCTCAATCAGGCAGAGACAGCTCTCGTCCTGATGGCCCTCTTGTCACTCTCGATGCCATGCTCGACCAGCTGATCGCCGTTTTCCAGAATATCCGTTTACAAGTACTGCATTAGCAGAAAAGCCTCGATTCTACACACTGGCACTCCTCATCCCAGTCAGTTGGGGGCAAGGAGCACGTAAACTGAGGTGCAGCTGTGCAGGTGTGACTTGCTGCCTGCGCACACGCCGATGGAATGCTCCCTAGTCATTGGTTGTACCGTGTATATACAAATGCACAAGTAGGACCTTCAAGCAGACCAGAGCAACAAATACAGCACTGCAAGGACGTCGGTTGCGCACCGAGCTCCATCAAGGAGCTCTGCAGGACATGGTACACTATCATATCATCAAGTGGTTAGTGGAACCAGAACAAATCCTGCAATTGTGTCACCTGTGCCGTCTTTGTGAGCATGTACGATTGGAATAAACGTGGGTGTGGTGCAGGACATTTAGGGCTCCCAAATCAACGACCTCTCCAGAGGCCAGCACTAAATGAGTCAAACGCAAAGGATGCTATGAGTTGTGAGCACAATGGAAAAGTGCACACAACCTGTACCACCCCAACACCAATATAAGTGCTCACACTGCTGCATGCTGCTGGGTTGACACGCATGATGGAAATCCTGACAATGAAATCTTGGAAGCAGAAAATCAGTGAGAGTAAGTCAGGTGACGAAGCCCCAATGCACTGCTCGAGTCTACTGCGAACTTCAGTGAACAGTTGCCTACACCGTCAGAAGAGCAACGCCAACACATTGCTGCAACATTCAACAAGTATCCACTCACTCTGGTAATTGAGCAACGAAAGTGGCGCACTTGGGTGTGCAGTGTCCTTAGGGCCAGAATGTGCAAACGCAAAGGTTCCATTGGAGATGGCAGGCCCAATTTCACCGCCACAGAACATTCCCGAAATAGACACAGGCGTCTGCAAAACCTACACAGAAGCACAGAATCGTGTCAGGAAGACTGTGAAACCCCCCAATGCAAACACTCATAGCGCCCCCCAAAGCTTATCAACTTTGTGATAACATTTTCAGGATCGGCACTGTACCATTTCTTGCTCGTCCCAGACAACCGCCTGCACAGATAGGAGGGCAGTGTGGAGTTCATTGCTGCTGGTCCTTTGCCAAGAGAACGTCCAACTGCAAAGGGACCTGACTGAGGTTGGCCAACAATGCAGCTAGTGGTGCGCAAGGGGAGGCACACTAACAAATTGTCACATCTTAACTGCTGCTTGGCTGCTGTCAAATCCGTTTGGGTGTGCACGAAGTATGGGAGATGGAACTATCCGCACTTGCTTGCAAGTCTTCGTGCTGCATAGGAATTTCAGGAGCCAAAGGCAAATCAAAGGATTGAAGGAAGTGCTGTTGCAACTAGAACTGATTGAGCATTATCAAGAGCTGGACGCTTAAAGAAGTGAGGAGGCATTAGGAATTGCATGAAGGACATTGAAGAACGGACTGGATGTAAAGAACAGAACTCCTGTTGTCCCTTTGCTCGGCTGCAAACGTTGCCCTGGACTCGAGCCTATGATCCCTGTTGATCCCTGCTATGAGCCTATGAAACCCTCAGCCGTGCCTGCCTTCGTCAGTACCTCATCAATAATTGCTGATTCTTTGCCGATTTCGCCATACAATGTCTGGCCTCGCAAAAAACACGAGAAGGCAAACATTCCCTGGCGACTGCTTCTGGCCCCATGATGTTCTGCAGATGCACTCAGTGCTGCGTATAGCTCAGGATTTGGATGAGCACCTGTGCTGTCTGCCAAGTGAGGTACATGGGCCCTCAAGATGGCTTCATTTGTCTACCATAGGTCCACCAGCACACCACACGTTAATGTGGCAAATGGCAGCAGCACTAAGACACCATTCTGGGAGCATGTAACATTCCTGTCAACAGCCAACAGCAGTGGAATGGTATGTAGATATGAATTTCTGGGCAGGCCCACATCAGATACGAATTTCAGGGCAGGCCTCTGTGTTGCCTAAAGGAACAGGTGAAGAAATGCATTGTTGCATTCCTGCATGCAGAGACGGGCGTATGCATCCTGAGAAGCAAAAGGCCCAACCAGTGCAGGTGGCACCATTGTTCAGTCCATTCCCCAATCGCTTGTGGAAACGTATCTACCTGGGCATACATTCAGGAGAAGTGCTGGTATACCCATACTACTTCATGTACAACATTCACAGCCATGGCAAGGGATGCAATGTTCTCTTGGGTGTGTCACCCATGATGTTCAGGGGACACCACTTGTACAGTCACTGCTGAAAGCACACTACGCAGCCAACAAATTGCAACATACAATACAAGAAGCTTCCCTGTACATGCACATGGTAAGGCATGGATAAGCACGGTAACTTATTGCACAACTAGGGCTGTGGCAGAAGGGCCCTATTCCTCTTCAGCTCAAACTCTGCAATGGCTATTGACGATCGCTTGCAGCAGACTTTCGACAGACTTTGTCAGCTTTTAGGGTATCAAACAAGAAGTTCTTTGAACATCGCCCTGCCTAAGCACTGTTTACGTGGGGATGACTGCCTTTCGCGTCCTAAACGCAAAACTGGACTACATTATCTTGGAATTCTGCAGCCACGAGTTTGTGGAATAGGCAGCATGCGCACCACCATCGTGACTCACAGACACCTGCAATTTCCCGCCTTTTCTTCACATCATTCCCTTGCATACCTCACGAGAGATCGTGACATGCTTTCCTGTGAACCCCTTCTTTTGCTTATCATCAACTTCGAGAGCACCTTCTACCTCAGCAAACACTCGGGTGGGGTCCAATTCTGTATATTCGGCCAAGTAAACGACAGGAACTCCTGCAAAATACGGTTCCAATCGCATTATTGGTTTGCTTGGTCGTCAGAAGTGCACCAAAGCATGAGCAGAGCCCCAATCTATCCAGCCACGAAGCTGTGATCCTTTCACTCGCATATGGTAAAATGGCACCTGACAAGGAGAATGTTTCTCAAGCCCCTGCTCTCCATTGACCACAAGCCTATCACCATTCTAGCATACAAAACAAAGTAATTGCAAAAAACGTTGGCCTTGGGCTGTGACCCAGACCTTCCAACAATAATGAGAATACCAGCAGCAAAGCAGCATCGCGTCAGCTACCATTGCCCTCAAGTACATTCACAAACCTCTTGCAGGACAGGCATGAAAGATTCTTTATGTTTGTTGCAGTACAGTGACCGAGCCACACTCCCAGGATCTGCCTAGAAAAAGCAATACGTTACAGACAACACAACACCATAGCATGGTACTGTCAATCTGTTGAAATTATTACATTTACTTATTGAGACAATTCCTGCACACACAAATATCTAAAAGCCTGCTTACAATGGCATAGCAGACTGCCAC